CCCTGAATTTCATAAACCTCCCAGTAGTTAAAATAGTAGGGACTTGGTACACCCTCCCATCATCCATATGTGAGAGAAAAAAAGAATGTGTCTATATGGCGCCATCACAATTAGTTGAAATATGAAAACAAATCCAGTCAACCAACAGAGTGTTTTATTTCCATGTTACAAAATAACTTGTTTAACCACTTTTTTCTGAATTTATTAACTTGACCAGTTTTTTGTTATTGTGCTGATGGAGCCTAAATGAACATATGCGAATTGCCGTACTGTACATGCATTGGCTTAGACATGCTTTTTGAAGAGCTCAGTACAATAAAGTTTCATTTTACACAAAGAAGGCTATCTTGAGACTTTGTTACTCCTCTAGTTGTACTAAAACTTAATTTCCATGTAGAACGAAGCCCTTCAAAGCACATCAGAGAATACATAGATTCAAGAAGGCAAATTTAGTACAATTCTGAGCACCACAATAAAGCCTTATGTTCTTTAAAGATACAGTAGGTTATCTCTAAGTCATTTTAAATGAACATGATTAAAGATGTAAGGGGAAAGCACCAGCCTAGTGTGCACTTTAAGTTCATGTGTCTTCCTCTATCCACACACTTGCCTCGCTGTTGGTAGTGGAGCCACAATGTTATCCCATTGCTGCTGAGGCAGGAGAAGCCAGGGTACATGACATGCTTGGGCACCCACACATGCGCTACCCAGAAGTAAAGGGGAAATGATATCCCACGCGGAAGGTATTTGACTAATGGAATGGGAGATATGAGATAAATTCTTCTTCTTTCCTCCCTCAGACACAGTAGGCCTGTCACATGAGCGTGAAAGATTAGCTTATCACGAAGCAGATTGTGGCCAACATAATAATACACTGCTTTAAGTGTGCTCTCTTCCCTTCCCTACTTCCCTACTCTTTCTCCTTACTCCTACTTTCCTGGGTATTGCATGAAAGCTTTTGCTTTAAACTCGAAGAACTCAGAAAAGACATCTGGATATGGAATTAAGTCATAATTCCACCCAAACTCAGAACTACGTGACTCTGGACAGGTTACTTTCCTTTCTGTGCATCTTTTTCTCCAACTATAAAATGTTGATGTTGAAGTTGATGTTTTTACATCTACTGGCTAAGAGTAAAAGATTGTCAGTGTGAGAGAGGTGAGGGGAAAAGGTTGGGTATTATACTGTCCAATGGTCATCAGTGGATTGCCTACATTTGAATGAGAAGAATGCACTCAATGTTAACAGCTCCAACCAATCTCAAGTTTCAAAAATAGTTTTAGTTCTACTTTCTGCAGAAAAATACCATTAGGTTTCCTGGATCTATAAAGAGAAGGCCAAATAAACTCTTACCCTCTCTGTAACAAGTGAAAATACTTCTCTACTAGCTCTACAACATAAGCTGTCTGAGAAATGGCAACTGACTGCAAGCATATTTTCAAAGGGAGTAGTGAAAAAATTTGTAATGTCACCATGTCGGGAAGTGAGACAGCTAAGATATGATGTCCACAACTATTGTTTCACTCTTAACATAGGAGCACATTTGTTTCAGCTCTTAGGCTGGAGGTGGACTGGAGTTAGGGAAATGACTATATACTATTGGAGGCTTGTTATACCAACAAAGTTGACATCATGCTCCAGACTTCTATAACTGATTCCGGAGCGTAGACTCACGAGTCAGACAGCATAGGTTCAAATCTTAGCTCAGCCATTTACAAGCCTCTCTGTGTTCCAGTTTTCTCATCTGTAAAATGGATATCGTAATAGTATCTACATCATAGAATTATTGTGAGCATTAAATTAGCTAATATTTGGTACTGTGCTTAAGATCATGCTTAGCACATAGTAAGCACTATGTAAGTGTTCACTACATTTATTATAGCTATCGTGATGAGGGAAGATGGGCTGGAACCAAAGAAAAACTCTTGGCTAAAGCCATATGAAATGTATCAAGGGACCAATATGTAGAAAGCAGTAGAGTTAGGGGGTAACAGATGACTTAACTGCAAAAAAATGCTAAGCAGGAAACACCCTCTAAATATTCTTGTTTATACAGTACATGACACAAAGTCGAAAAATAATGAAAACAGAGCCTCTCTGCAGGATTTAGAGTTCTTTCGTATATATTTTAAATATACATGTGCAATACATTAAAATATATAGAGATGTGTGAATATATATATTTACAAAGGTTATATATATATATATATATATATATATATATATATATATATATAATCACAGAAGGGATACATATGCACACTCACTCACACGTCCGTGCGCGTACCCCAACAGGACCCATCTATACGTAAACCAGATGCAGTCCACATCAGGCCAACTTGGACACAAGTGAAAGCCCTGACTCAGCAGCAGATTGCAGATTGCAACTGCATTTGAGTAACCCTTCAGTTTCTTCTACCAAGTGTAAGGCCATTTAGAAACACACTGGGAAGAGCTCATCTGGGTATATGGCAGATCCCAGGGCCCCTCCGGCAGTGCACCATTTGCCTGAGTAAGGACTGCAGGATTGGGTTATCAAGGAGCTATCAAGGAGAAGGGACTTGCTTGCATTGCTTTGGGCCCTGAAACTAAGAAGCAAACATCCATAGAATAACATTAGCTCCAGGAACAAAGCACTAGTGTCATAGAATCCTTATATATCTCAGCACTAAGCAAATATCAGGCAGAAGCGGAGAGAAGTGTGTGTTGCTACTCATCACCATCCAGCTTGCCCCAGAGCACTGGGCACAGCTTTTAAGGGTATATAAGTTCAAAGTTCAATCAGGCAAATTTATAAGATTAACAAAAAAAAAAAGTACTTAAAAATTAAAGGATCTGAAAGCAACATAAGAGGTTACAGGTATTGGTTTGGGTTTATAAATTTTCCAAGAAGCCAAACCTTATATATGGCACCATTTGCAGCAATATCATTAACATTATTAATAATCATCATAACATATTTATATATACAAAAATAGAGCAAAGCAATTCTAGAAGAGGAGGTGAACATGAAGGCGTGGAGCTGTGCGCAACCCAAATGTCAGTACACTTTAGGAAGATTCAGAACTAACAATGACTGAGTGGCACATGTTTCTATAGTACACATCCAACAGGGGGTTATAGATGGTCCCTTCTTTTTTTGTCCCCCTGGGTATGATTCTACATCTCTCCCTACCTCTCCACCCTGCGATACACATCCATGCACACTTTCAAAGAGATGATAGATAAAGTTAGAGTCTGGAAGTCTTATACTAAGTTGGAGCACCTTCATTTCAAGCAAGTGCCCTCAATCTCTGAATTCTGTAGTGTTGGATTCACTTACAGAGGGAAACCGCATCCAGTTCTTTTCGTCTTTTCGCATCAGCCTTTCGGAGCCTGCCTTCACCGCCGCAGCTGTTTTCCATCCAAAGGTATTCACTCACAGCACAGGCTCTCAGTACTTTGCAAAAGAGAAGTCAGTTGTCTGTATCATACACCCTTTTCGTCTCAGTTTTCCGCTGTTGCTGAAATTTAGGTTCTCAGGCAACTGTCATAGTAAAGTCAGGAGTAAGCACAGTGTTGTGCAGCAAAAGGAGGCGCGATGGCAAAGATACAGCTTGGTTAGGACTTCTTTAAATGTTCTTTTCTTTTCCACACAAGCTTCTATAAGGTGACAGAGCCAAAGGTGATGTCCGCTGGGGGAAGCCCCAGCACCTGGTAGTTAGTTAGCTACCCACCTGGCTCTGTATAATAAAGATCACCACACTAACTTGGCATGGTTCCTGAAAATTGAATGGGAATGGCTTTCTGTCATTGTTAATAGAGCCCTCAGAGAAAAGTCCCATGGCTTCGCATGGGACAGGGTAGGGAAAATGGAACTAGGAGTCAGAAGGCCTGCATTCCAGTCCAACTCTGCTATTAACTCCGTGTGTGGCCTTGAGCAAATTCCCTTCCTATCTCCAGGTCTCAGTCTTCCCATCTGTAAAATAAGGGCATTGAACTAGATTAACTGTTAAGATTCCTTCCAGCTCTACAGTTTTATGACTTTTGATGTCCATTATTAAGGCCTGAGCCATGCAGTCTCAGGGCAGTTAGCTTCTAAGAGAGAACAGACCTCTTTGATATCCTTTGCTTTGTTCATTTAGCTATAAAGCACGTCTGCCTTTGGCACTTGGGTCAGACATACGGAGTTATGAGCATCCTGATTTACTATCCTACTCAGCATGCTAGTGGAATCTGTCAGTACTATAAGTTCATTATTGGGAAAGGGAGTAAAACTCCAACCAATTAAACCTGGAAATGTAAGATACTTTTGCTTTATATGCTCACAAACCGGTTAAGTGTGGTTATAAGTGCACACACACGTCAGGATATAGACTATTGCTAGTGATCAGTCCATTACAGTAATCCATTTCCCTTAATGAAAATTAGTAAATAGTATAGCATAGCAAAGTTTGGCGTCAAAGGAAACACCCTACGGAAAAAACAGCACTTTGGGATGTGTTAGAGAAAGAGGGACAGGTAGAGAGAGCAAAGACATTATCACACAAGACAGAAATACAAGCAGAGAAAGGATTATACCGAGAGAGCAGGAAGGGAGGAGTAAAACTCGGGACGGAGACGGCATGAAAAGAGGGAAAGCAGAGTGGGTGAGAATGAAGGGGGAAGGAGTCCGGAACTAGAGTGATGAAAGAAGAGGAGAGAGGAGAGAAAGAAGACTCAAGAAGAGAAGGGCACTCAACAGGGAGAAAGGGTAAGGTCCCTGGAATAGTGAATGTTGTTCCACATGGGCCTGTGAAAACCTTCTAGAAGAAAGTTTTCAAAGGCACAGTGGAAAGAAGAGTGACGCTCAGAGCCTGCATCGAGAGGCTTTGCATTAGGGAGCCCCTAAACCTCTACGTTGCTGGCTCTGCCAGTCCTCAGTGTTCAATCTCAATCCGATATATCACCTGAATTTGTCATGACAGCCTTAAGGGCTGAGATGGTGGGGTGGGGTGGGGTGGGGTGGGGTGGGATGGGGTGGGAAAAGGTTGGGGAGGAGTGGGGTAGATACTGTGAGAAAGAACAAGGCATCCTGCGCTAGGATGCACTTGGCCATTCCCCTGACACTGCAGGAACAAAAATTGGTGAGGCCCTAGCTTTGGCTACTTTACTCCTCCTTCCCCTCTTCCAAGATGAGGCGGTTGCATTACTGATGGGGGCTGGAAGGAGAAAGCTCTGGATCCATTTGGTGAGGAGGTCATACAGACTTCTCCTGGGCCTTGGGGAAGGGCGCGCTACCAGAGGAGATCTTCCTGCACACAGTGTTGGTGTGCCTCTTACAGCGGCAGCCTGGTCGCCGGAGGCTATCATAGCCCTGCTGGCAGAGATGGAGGCATCCACGGGTAGGCAGGTAGCAGCACAGGCAGGGTAAAAAGAGGGAGATGAGGCTCATGGCTGCCCAGCGGACAAAGCAGGAGCTAGGCCCGCAGGAGCAGGGCTCATCAGCGCAGTTGTCTTCGTCATCAGTGGAGCAGTGGTAGAAGAGGCCCTTAACACAGCAGAGACAAGTGCCATAATCGAGGAGGCTCTCGGCAGAGCAAAGGCAACGCTGGTTGCACAGCCAGCAGGAGGGGAGAGGGCGCGATGCTGTGCAGAGGACACACTTGCAGCGCCCACACTCCTCACAGATGAAGAGGTGCTCATTGGGATGCATTGCGGATTGCTCATCTTCTCCCTTCAGAGCACCGTCAACCTTTGGGTGGGCCCCCGTTCCAGGCTGGGTTCGGATGATGGACTGGCCGGAAGGTGAGGGTGTAATGCTGGCCAGGAGCCTTTGATCAGAGGCAGTGGTGCTATGGGACATTGAGCTGGCAATGCTAGATTGGCTCAGATGCTGAGGCAAGGGCTGCAATTGATGGCACTGGCTGAGACTGCGGGGGAGAGCAGTAGGTATGGTAGCCAAGGACCAATCAGATTTGTGGGTTTGCACAATGAGGGAAGGGCTGGAGAGGGCCTGTTTACAGGGGGCTGGAGGCCGGTCCACATAATCATTGCTAGCATGAGTAGAGCGCAGCTGTTCGATAGGCAGGATCTGTTGGAAGTCATCTGTCACTGCAGCATCCATTTTGTCTTGATTCTTGAGTTCTGAGTGGCTTTGGGTCAGGATGGCACTTATGGTGATAAAGAGCCCTTGTATTTACATAGACCTTAGGGAACATCAGAGAATCCTAGGAGAGAAGAAATAGAAACAATTAATGAGAACACACAGGCGTGAGTACTTTGCAGGGAACCTATAAAGCTTAGGCCCTGTCACCACCACTACCTTGGGTCACTTTACAGTAGATTTCATGTTACATATTTATTCTGCAATGACCTCACCTACCTCTTTACAGGCAAGTCTGATCTTCCCATTCAGACAATAAAACACTTTGGGAGCAAAGATCGGATCATTGATTTCTTTTGTATTCCATCATATGACAAGGGTCATAGGAGCAGCTAGCTCATTCAGATGCTTGCTAACAGAGAAATCCAGGCCTTGAGCATCAAAATTCTAATAAAAATGGGCCCTGATTCCAAGCATAAAGGCCACTCCCCGAGGCAATGCTGATGTCAAAGAGAAAGCCTCAAAAGTCTTCTGTGAATTTTCATGTATAAATTCTCCTTTCAGTGAAATTTGTGAGAAGCATAAATAAACAAGTGAGAAATGGCATTGCTTGCTTCAATGCATAGAGGCAAGCAAGCAAGATGCAATAATGGCAGAGATGTGGCAGAGATTCAGAGGGCAGATATTAGGCTATCTGCAGAATAATAGGAAAAATGGCTTCCCAGAGGGAAAGGATGCCAAGACTAATCATCCTACAGCTCTCCTCATCTTATAGGCTGATTTAACTTATTGAGGAGGTAATTCTTTCTAAATGGCAGTGTAGCTACACAATCGGTTTATTTATGTATCTATATCTATACCTACATCTATTTCTATCTATATACATACACACAAATAGATATAGATAGATATATACAGAGAGATATAGATATAGATATATAGATATAGATATATATATGGAAGTAATACTGGGGCTGAAAGAACCATACAAGATGAGCCCTGAATTATTTTAAATATTACCCATGATTATACTTATTACTACCCTAAATCAAGTTTTTTTGATGGCATTTACTTGGCAGAATCTGCTTGGAGTACTTTTCTCTATCCTTACCTTACACAATACAATAAACTAGCTTTCTTAAAGAGCAGCAATGTTCTTATATCAGATTTAAGCTAAGAAAGCATGTGCTGTATCTCCATTTTACTGCAATCCAGGATGGTTGGTGGCTATTCCCTGAAGGATTTGACTGAGCCTAGTATTGTTCATGGTGACTATGAGGAAAACACTGTACCCATAGCAGTTTACTGTATTGCACCAAAAGACTGAACCGCCAAAAAGGTGTACACAAAGAAACCTAAATGCAAACCTAAGAGTCACCCTGGAGGCATTAGGACCTAGGAAACAACATCATGAACAAAGTACATATTTGAAATCCATCAGATTTCAGGCGTCTCAAAATAGATTGATTACTCACACTACTGTATGGGATGGAAAGCTTGAATGAGTAATAGAATGAACAAGTGAAAGAACATAGTGCTTGATTAAGCTTCCATAAGCAAGTAAACATGATACTAAAATATGCCCGAAGTTCAATAACAGGAAAAATAAGGATGCAGTTCATAAAGGACTCAGGGCTAATAATATGACCAGCCTCATTGCCTTGGGAGGCTATATCCCATGCAAACCTGTTTAGTTGCATTTACATCTGTTCATTTTTTGAAAAGAAGATTTAATTTGGTTAAAAATAACTTTGCTGGCACATAACATCACAGAACCAGTGTGAGTTGTTTCAGTGTTATTTAATGCAACACAGAGAACGCAGATAAACACTATGGAGAACCTAAGACAAATATCTGTATAACTTTCATCAAATCACTTGCTTTGCTTGGACCACAGTTTCACTATCTATATAATTATAGGGATGGACTAGGTGATTCTGAAAGACTGTGCCCCATTATTGTTTATGATTACATAACTACATCATTTGACAAGACTTATCTTTGTCTACACCTTCTGCATGTTCAATCCTTGAGGGAAAACTAAGCAACATGGCCTTGCTTACATATTTGGATATTCAAAGGCAAAATTCTATTTTATTCACTTGAACTCACAGCCTCCTGAAGCCTCGCACCTCAACCTTTGTTGTATCTTTATTAAGATTCATAATCTCAGCATTAGAAAAGAACAGGTAGTTTTCATTGGCACACTCAAATAACAAGGACATATTGTTCAGATGACTTGCAGGGTATGCGGATGTAGGAGCTATGGATTGGGAAGAATCTCTTGATAAACTTATAAGAGATAGATTTGTTCACCATTGATCACACAAAGAAGGCATGAGGCCCTTCGAGTCCTTTCCACTGTAAGAACAACATACACCCTGGATTCATTAGACTCGTTAGTTGCCCAAAGGAAACCGGATTCAAACCACACTGAAAATTCCAAGAATCAGTGACTCAAAGGAAGGCACACACGGTCTCAAAGCTACAGAAAATGATCATATGGGATTCCAGGGTTGTCACCAGGTATCTCAGGGATATGATCAGAAGGTTGAAAGCTAAGGTTGGGGGATATAGGTCATAATAGAAATGACTCAGAACCATGTCCAAAGGGATCCTGTCTGGGAAGAAGAAGGGCATGTGGTGTTTAGGTTGAAAACGAGTCTCTGGATATTGATTCGTTTGGTGCAAGATTGAGGCGTTGAGACGATTGGTTCAATGATTAGAGGAAGCTTTGGGTATCAATCTGGGATGATGAGGTACTATTTCTTGATTATAGGTAATGGGATTGGCAGATTACATTTAGAAGGTTTCTTCTTGCCCTGTAAAACCTTTTTTTTTTTTTTTTTTTTTTTTTAGAATGGACCATGGAAGATCTGCAATACGTGGGCAGTAGGACCTGGGTAAATTCAGAGTGTTGAGTAGGATAAAACAGGATTGGATGACAATAAATTGTTTGCCATTCTGGACGTGCTGAATCCGATCTGAGCTAACAGGATGAACTGAAATAGATACTGTAGGGGAAGGGAAGAGGGGGAAAAAAGTGTTGAGAAATGAATAGGCAAGAGCCTGTTTGCAGTACCTAGATTAGATGAAAAACTGCGACTACATGCATGTTTAGGATTCAGAAAAACACCCACTAAAGGCCCATTCATTGTGAGCAGCAACAGTTAAGAAACTGACTATGCTGCTGATCAATTGCATTTTCTAGCAAACGAGAGGCAGAATATACATATCACATAGTTTTAAGCAGGAGCCAAGGTGATTAAAAGTCTTGGCTGTACAGTGATGGGATCTAGTGATTTCTGTCACGTAGTGCCTCTGCAGTAATGAATGATGCATTGTAAACCCACTCCCATCTCAGTCCCTCTGGCCAGGTGCTCAGAGCTTTCTCAACAGTTTTTTTTTTTTTTTTTCCTGTCGCCCTGAAATTTGCTCTGTTCAACCTAAACAGAAATTCCTTTTCTTGTGTCAATTTAGGGACTAGAAAGCTAAATCCATTCAAGAAATTCTGCTTGTTAATGAAAGGAAAAAACAAAAAAAAAAAGGGCTTTCTCCCTGGAACCTAAAACCTGCCATGTTGAGACTCCAGTTGAAAACTTTCCTATCTAAAGCCCTTCTGTGCTAACACCTTAAGATAGTTCTGATTTCTGTGATAAATCCTTTCTGATAGAATATGATTCATCCTCAATTTCAAAGAAGCAGGGAGGCAGGGGTGGGGGGAGCAGAGAGGGAGAGCCTTGGGTTCAATGCTGTTTTGTGCCTTACTGTGTAACGGCTCTGGCGTGTGTTGGCCTTTTCTGTGCTCTGCTGTTATATACACTCCTTCTCAGAATAACTGAAAGCAAACATAGGGGGAATTTCTGCTATAGCTTTATATGTTTTCTTAGTTCTACTGTTCCAAAGTCTGCTCTCTCAAAATCCCTCTCTGTGCAGAAGCACTTGCATCTCTATCACAGCACTCCCCCCTTACAAATACCAAGTTGTATATAGTTTACATTACTAACCTCTCAGCCACTGACTGGGCCTCACTCCTACCGCATACATCTTGCTGGAGCTGCCAGGTTCTCACCACATTTAACTCTTAACTTGTCACGTCGCTCCCCTAGCCCTATTCATGACTTTAATCGTTTCATTAAGAATCAGAGCCATTTCTTTCAAACCAGGGAGCCTTGCAGTTTTAAGAGCTTGCATTTTGAAAGCTCTGGGTGTTTTAGTGACGAGCAATACAGGAAAAATGGTCATATCAAATGCATCCACACGCTTCTAATCCTGAGGAAAATGAGAGTTGTTCATTTTAAGAAGGAAAAAACTCCCTCTGGACCCCAAATCATGTTACAGGAGACATGAAACTTAAGATCTAGCCCTAGCTCTAGCTCTGCTTTGCTGTGTGTGACTACGGGCTGGTGACTTTTGTTCCAGGCCTCAGTTTCTTCATCTGCAGAGCGAGGGGCTAGCAAAGGAAGGCTGTGAAAGCCCTTCCTCTCCTCATGCCCTCAATCTCTTTATGCTGGCTTGCTAGGTTGCGTTTCTCTGTCTCAAAGGTCTTTCATGAAGAATTAGTCCCCCTTCCCTTACATTCTTTCCTTTCTCACGACTCAGCTCCTCGACGCTGAACAAAATACCACCAAATCCAAGCCACTCGGATCCCCCTCCTGATTGTTTCACGGCTAGAGAAAGCAAAACCCAGAGCACGCGCGCACAAAATGTGTAGAATATCACAGTACAGTCTTGGTAAATGTTTACTTAGAGGTACAGGGGGAAGACTAATATTTCCTTGTGGCTCAAACTGCTGGCCTGTTCCTTATTTGTATGCATGTATGCTGCTCACTTGTTGGGAACACGATTTAACACCTGGGAGAGCTAAATTCATGCGATAGCCCATCCGGTCACAGGGAAGTTTTCACGCACCCAGAAAAGCAACCGTGGTTTGCATTTCCAAACAGATTTTCCGTCTAAGAGTTCAAGGTCTGTTCCGTTCGCCCGACCTGGTCTGCAGCACGCAGAGGTGCGTGATCATTCTAATCAGAAGAATGGAGAGGGCTGGAAATCACATTGGCCAACCAGACATGCACACAGGTTCTCGCTTTGGACATTTCCATATGCCACATAGAGACATGTGCCCATACCCCCGGGCATGGATCCAAAGATTTCTAAATCATTGCTCTGACTCAATGTAAGTAGGGGGTTATGCCGTGTCAGCTTGCGCCATTTCTACCCAGGGCAAGGTGATGTGATGAAATCTGAACGATGCACAGCCCAGACTTGTGAGCCAATAGCCGACTAGCCCCACGCTGACAGGATACCCGCTGGGCAGCCAGACTGGCCTCGGCATGGACTCTACCTCCATCCCCAGTCTGCGTGGTCAGGCTGCGCTATAAGGGACCCGGGCACGCACCAAAACGCATGGAAAGGTCAACAGGCTGGACACGAAATTGACGTCTGGCCACAAAAGGGTTATTTTCCAGTTCCATTTTGATTTAGAAATACCCCGTAAGAACCGCGTTCTGCAGGAGCCCGATTCATTGAAATCTCGTTTACATGGTTTTCATTTCATTTTACCCACGCGCTTGCGTTTGTGCTCGTGCACACGCGTGCGCACACACACACATACACACAAACACACACGCACACACGCACCCGCACACACAGACGACGGCCGGAATGAATGGCAATCTGTGCACAGAAAGAATTCTGAGGTCCTTCAGATCTCATCGGTATGGCTTACCTTGAGGGAAGGATCTATCCATGCTGAGAAAAGCAGGAGAATTAATGCCCCATCTGGCTCAAAAGCCCTCCTCTGAGTCTCTCCAACCTCTTTTCAGAAAGTCTTGAATGAAAACTCCTCCGGCAGTGGAGCCAGAAACAGAGATAGTTCTGTCTCGGTCTGGTTGGTCTTTCTGACACAGCAGAGAAAACGGAAAGGGAAAAAAAAAAAAAAAAAAAAGCAGTGGTGGGGGGAGGAGAGTCAGACCTGTAGTGGCAGATACTTTGTATAGATTTTCCTTGCAGATCTAAATCTTGATGCACGTATTCCCCAAAGAAAGCTCAGCAGGGTAAGTTGCTCGCCGCCTCCTCCTCTTCTTTCTCCTCCTCCTTCTCCTATTTCTCCTCCTCCTCCTCCTCCGCCTCTTTCTCCTCCCCCTTCTCCCCCTCCTCCTCTTTCTTTTCTCCCCTCCTCCTCCAGCCTTTTCCTTCCCCTCCTCCTCCCCTCCCCCTTCCCTCCTCCCCTTCCTCCTCCTTTACCTCCTCCCCCTCCTCTTCTGCCTCCGCCTCCACCTCCGCCTCTGTCTCCTCCAATCTGACAGATGAGCCCGAAGCTGCAGAAACTGCAGTTGTAGACACAGGGTTATCTCCACAGAGCAATAGATACCGAGTGTGTGATTATTTATACAGCGCAGGGTGTGTTGATATAGAATCTGCAGAGAGCAGGGGGGCAGGGAAGGGAGGCGAGATTGCAGTGCTGTTCAGCCGAGCTAGCTGGCTGTTTTGTGAATGTAGATGATTTCTGGAGGTCTTGTGAATGGGTTAGAGGGGAGGAGGGGAGGGATGGGATTTATTGCTCCTTGTTATAATTTCTTTCTCTCCCTCTCCCAGTGTCGTTTGTTTTCCGGGAGCTGTAGCTCTTAATGCTTGGCTAAGTGGCGTCATCCAGTTGAAATTGAATCGACCCATTAGAACTCCCCATAGGAATCTCTGTATCCGGTCCCTGGGTAATGACTGAAACAGGATTTAAAGGGGAATGGGGGCGGGGTGGAGAGTAACAATTTTAAGGAGGCCTTATTTAAATATCTCTGCCAGCCACAGTCCTACAGAGCCACTCAGCCCTCGCTGAGTGATTGCAGCTTCAATCAGATGGAGACAGAGCTTCTCCTTTGTTTGAGGGTTTCTCCCACGTCTTTTTTACATTCATTCCCACTTTTTCAGCGCTCATAAAGATTATCCATCCATCATGCATTGGGAAACCATTAACCAGCCTCCTTTCCCTTTCTGCCTTTAGTATGTCATATATTCAACGAATATGTTTGAGAGCCTTCCTTTGTGCTAGGTGTTGCGCATTCAATAAGGAAGGCAGAATCCCCGTTTGCAGGGGAGCCTCGTGGGGCCCGCCAGGCCTCTGAAAAATCAAGCAGCTCTGGACATTTTCTCTGCAACCGAAGGACGGAGTTTTCTGTAAATTATCCTCCGTTCACTGTTTCACGCAATAGGAAGGGGTCTTCCTTCTGGGCTTCCAGACAGAAGCACTTAGATGAAAACAAGCCTCATATTTAAAATAAAAGAGATCTCATTTCAAGTCCTGCTTCAATGGACAAGTAGCAGGAGCTTGACCATCAACATTCTTAGGATGCTTGGGTTATCCCATCGATAAAATTGAGAAGGTAAATGGTGACAGTTAAGAGTAAAACAAACCTGGGAGTCAGGAAACGCAGATTCTTAATCTTGCTCTAATTCCTTGTGTGACCTTTGCAATTTACTTTACCTCTATCTAGTGCCTCTATTTCTACATACAGGAGGTGATCCGATTAGGTAATTGCTAAGATACCTTCTAGCGCTGACATCCTATTTACACCCTCTCAGGAGGGTAAAGAAAACACGAGATTAAAAATATGAATGCTTCCATGAGTCTGCATGTGCATGTGAGTGTGTGCGTGGCAAAGTTGTTCCACACTGTTTTGTTGATGTGTATGTGTGTGTGTGTGAATGTATATACCATGTATATATCCATTGTGTGTGTGTGTGTGTGTGTGTGTGTGTGTGTGATTTCTAAACAAATCAGAATTTCCAGAGTCAAAAGATTTTCCTTTGTAAATTCTTCTCTTTTTGTGGCTCAAACATTGACTTGAGCTTATCAAAATTATAAAAACCATTAAAGCTAATCTGTAAATTCTTCCACACAAGAGGATGGATTTGCTGATATTTCATCCACCATTTTTAGCAGGTATTTATTGCATATCAACTTGGTGCCAAGCACTTACTAAGTTCAGGTCCAACAGAACAGGGTTCAAATTTTGTTTCTCACTTGATGAGCTATCTGACTTTGGGCACCTCAATTTACCTCTCTCAACCTGTTTCTTCATTTTTAAAATGGAGGTACTTACAATACATCATAGATTGTGCTAGTTCCTGTAGATTGAATAAAGTCTTGCATTTAAAAGGTATATCAGGTGTCTGCAATATAGTAAGTGCTCAATGAACAGTAGGTATGAATATTAAGAACTTTTTCTCACCCTAATGTAGCCTACAGGAGAGGCAAGATATTATTTCCATTTGAAATCCTTTTGTTTTTTTAAGGTCCAGCTTTACATTTGAACAGATATATGCTAAATATATCTCCCTTAAATGTGACTTATTTTCATGCTTTATTCCCTTGTTCAAAAACTCACTTCTAATTTCTAGAGCATGAAGTCTAAATGACTCTGCCTGTCAATCAAGTTATTCTCCAACTCTATACATTCCACGTCTCTCCTCTTAACATAAGATAGGTTGAATGTTTCGATAAATTCCTGTACTGTTTTTTATCTGTGGCTGGGTGTCCATAGATATGGAGAGCTGATTATATGCATTGTTCTATTTCATTTTATATAGGGGATTTGATCATCCATGGATTTTGGTATCTGTGGGGATTTCAGAAACCAAACCCCTTGATGATACCAAGGGACAACTTAAGTTTTGGGGGAGTCATACGTTATACAAGGATTTTCAACTGTTCAGGGGATTGGTGCATTGTTCAAGAGTCAAATGTATAATTAGTTATTATTTATTAATATATAATTAATAAATGAATCCTTGCTCTCCAGGGGCTCCTACTTTGGCAGGGAAGATAACAAATAGACAAATATAATAAAGGATAAGTGCAATGGAAGGGATCAGAGAGGAAATATACCTCATCCAGTATTGAGGGGGTTATGGAACGCTTCTTAGAAAAAGTGACATTGAAATATAAAGTTGAAGGATGAAAAGGACATGATAGCCAGTGGGGATAGCATATGGATAAGACAAGAGGTAGCATAAAGGATGACAGGATGAACTGAACTGCAGATAGAACCATCACTGAATCTCCCAAACTCAGTATAATACCTGGAACAGAGAAGATACTAAAAAAATATTTGATAGTCAAAAGAACAAACAAAAACCATTGCAAGCAGAGATAGCATAATGAACAAAGACACAAAGATGTGTCAACAACATGTTTTATAAATCATTTTAAGGAGGGTACCCAGCAGACATTTTCTCTAAAAGGCACCACCCACATGTTTTATTCATATTCCTGGAATGTTCTAAGCTTATTTAGGTTTTCCTAAATTGTAGCAAGTGGAAATAGATTATACATGAAAAACCAAGTTTGTATGATAGCCCACTTTGGTGTCTAAAATAATCATTATCAGAATCTTCATCCATAAACCAAATCAAATGTCAAATTCTCAACCTATAATTGTAACCAATTCTCTCTTATTTGGTCTTCATGAAACATGTATTCTGCACAAATTCTGAAAATATTTCCTTATTCTCTTTTTCCCAGAATAGAGCCCAAATCCATTTGAAAGCCTGTAAGTTCCTATATGAGTCTAGTCCTATCATCTCCTTACTTGGTCTACTGGAGTCAAGAGTAGCTCTTTAGAAATACTAGATGAGCCCTAGCCTGTTTTGCTCAGTAGCTAGAGTAGGGGTGTCGAACTCAATCAGAGAAGGGGCCAAAATCTAAAATCCAGCCTAAATTGCGGGCCGAATGGTTTACTGAACAGTCATAAACTGTCATTGTGATGGAAACGCAGCGGAGTGCAGTGATGACAGCGCGGTGCGGGCCACATTGCAAGGCCTGGTGGGACGGATTTGGCCCGCAGGCCTTGTGTTTGACACATGTGAGCTAGAGCATAGGCCTATGGATCGAAGGGTCCGGGTTGGATTCCGGTCAAGGGCAAGTACCTAGGTTGCAGGCTCCTCCCTGGCCCGGGCCTTGCTCATGGCACATGCTGGAGGGAACCAATTGATGTGTTTCTCTCAGATCAATATTTCTCTCTTTCTTTCCCTCTCTCTTCCACTCTCCCTAAAAATGAACTGAAAAATATCCTTGGGTGCAGGTAAAAAATTTAAAAAGAAGAAGTACCAGATAAAAATCTATGGGCATCCTGACTCAGCAGTGGTGATGCCAGAAGAAGTAGGTAATGCCAAGGAAATAAAATTTCTTAACCAAAAACCTATAGTGTTGGCAATAATTATTTTCTTTTCCACAGAAGCTGGCAAACAAACATTGGAGCAATATCATCAATAATAAGATAATGGTATAGGAAAGTCAGAGAGGGAAAAAAAAAAAAAAGACCTGGGAGAGTATAGAATTATAGAATGGAAGGACGATGTGGTCCTGTGGAAAGAAAGTTGTATTAAGAGTAAGGAACTTTAAATCTAGTACCCTAACCTGCTGTGTGGGTTTGAAGGTCATTTCTCATCATTAGGCCCCATTTTCTTATCTGTAACATAGTATGCTTCAATGTAATTAAATAAAACAAGCATATACTGAGTACCTACTCAATATTAGGCAATATATTTGATGTGAAGAAAGACACAGAGATGAATTGTGATACAATATACCATCTACTAGGCCCTCAATAGATACTAGTTGAATGAATGAATGAATGAATGAATGAGTGGTCTTATCCTCTCATTACTCAGGCTAGTAGAATATATAACGCAATACAATTAATCATTAAATCAGATGACAGATAATTGTGGCTTGAATGAAGATAGGGACAGTGTGGATAAAGAAAAGTGATCAGTAGAATATGGAATAACTAAGACTTTGACTTATTAGATGTGGTTTGTTAATTGCATCATTTACTGAAGTATGGAGGGAACATTTAAATACCTTTCAGTACATTGGGTTTGAGATGCTTATGTAATATCTAAATGGTAATGTAGGTAATATTAAACATGGGTTTTGAGCTTAAAAGAGGATATGGGTCAAGAATAAAAATATGGACACTAATAGTGTACAGATTTAAGTCATGAAATAGATGAGTCTAGCCAGAGAGAGTGTGCAGTATGTTAAAATGATAGAAAGGTAGAAGTCAAAACCCCGAAGAGGACAGGTATTTAAGGGATTGGCAGGAAAGAAGTCTATAAAATAGACTGAGAAGGGATGACCA